ATATCAACGACTAGCAGGAACAAAAGGCGTTTTAGCTAGGTTGCCCCATCTGCTAAATTCAGGCATATAATACCGACCCTAACAACAACAACAAAAACTCTATAATCTAATACGTCAAATGCCTCTGAATTTAGCACTTGTTCCTGCCACTCATCGACGTTAATAATTAAAAACACTAAAACTTAGGACTATAGCTAATCTATTATTATCATCCACAAGTCACTATAATCATTGACTAGCGTACATCATTCATTCCGCTTTACCTGTCCATCGATCTTTCAAGACTAGCTCGCTTTCTTTTTTATACTTTCTTTTTTAATTTTTTTCTCTCGTTTGTTATCTTCACCTTTCATTTTCTCTTTACCATTCGTATCTTCTTCTTCTTCTTCTTCCACCTTTTAGTTACACATATATATAAATATATATATTTATTATGGTCACCACTTCTCCACTTGTCTCTACCTGCCAATGAGTGCGCCTCCGTATGTAGGAGTCCAGAAATCAACATTGGTCTCATTAGCCACCGGAAACGTGCTTGAAATCGGCACCAAACACAGCCCTCGGCTTCTCAAATCTTGTTTTGGTCCTTCTGACTCCTTCAGATTATCACAATCCTTCAGACACACATGCAAATATTTCAAAAATCTTTATACTAATTGAATGCATGGCCATGGACCCTAGTCAAATTTAAACACATTCACTACATTTAATGATGTTGTGTAACATAAACTTTTGGATATGAATGAGTATAGAATTATCAAACTGTTTGTGTTGCAGCATATCATTCACTACGGTGATTTTCGCTGCAGTGAATCAGATGTCAAGTGCATGTGTATGTAACTAGAGCCTTCAGATATAATTAAGTACCTGCTGGTGTTGGATGGGAGCTCCATTTTTCATGTATGGATTGCTCAATACCTGAAATTAAGAAACCAAAATTATGTTTAAATTAACACATAAGAAAAGCCTTGTCGTTTAACTTTCCCTTTTTGAAGAAATTATATATATATATATATATATATATATATATATATATATTCATATAATATGATCCAAGCAAATATATATAATTAGGGTTTTCTTTAAAACAAAGTTAGAAATGGAAATTAACATACACTGACTTGGTCATGAAGGAACTTGATGTAATCGATGGCTTCGTGAAGAACGGATGCAGTGTCCGTCTATTAAAACCAACAAGAATATAAAATCTGATGAGTTTTTTTATCCTTCAACGTCTAAAAAGGTAAAGGTTTAAATTCTACCATATATATCACAGTCAAAGCTGCTGTGAAGGGAAAAATAAAGTGAAATTACGAACATATAAAAAAAAAAATTACCTTTCCGAAAGGTGAAACCAATTGCTGAAGAGCAGTGATGCGGTCTCCTAGCTTTTCTTTCCTAACCTGTCCATGTATACATATCAACTAATTGATCAAATCTAAAGAGTTATTATTATAAAGGTTAAGAAGTTTTACATAAAGAAAAAATAAACATATAATATTATTATAGTACCTTAAAAGTTGGTAATGGGGATGGAGTCTCAATTCTTTGCCTCTTGAATGCTGGCTCCGAAGAATTTTTCTTCGCTGCTGATGCTGTGTCTGGAGATTCTTCTCTCTTGAGCTGCAGTTAAACCAATTATCACCTTTAACCCACAAAAAACCCTAGCTAGTTTATAAGCTTAGAAACCATTAATTAATTACCTTATTTAACAGAGTATTGGGGCAGTTGGGTTTCTCCTCAAATTTTGGCGTTTGATATTGTGCCTGTGATGAAGCAAAAACACCTGCTCTTATGTCATTAAGTGCTTCGGCTGAAGCACTCCAGAAAGTAGTATTATTGGAAAAGTGCAATCCACTAAGTTGCTGCTTTGGCATTGAGGGTTTGAGAAGGGAAGAAACATTGGACCATGTTGGTGAAAGTTCATTGGAACATGTTCCGTAGTTTACGGTAGATGAATAGGACATGGAGGGGTTGGTGAAAAGTGAGTTCTGTGGTTGTGGTTGAGGCTCAGGCTCAGGCTCATATAAGCTTTGTATCAACGTTGAAGGGTAACCATAGGAAGCTGAAACAATAGGGAAATCACCAGATAATGATCCGGTGCTGGTAACAACAGAATTCAGACCTTGCTGATCCAAGGAAAAATCTTGGTTCATTGGCTTGAAAGCATTAACGGTAGAAACTTGACTACCACCACCACCAGATGAGAAATTCTTTGGACTCCAATCCTTTTGGATTTGTGAGTTATTGGAAGAACCAGAACCACCAGCCATGCCTGTTTCTTCTTGAAGCACGGAATGAAAAGCGCTCCCTCTGCAGAGAGAGAAAATCACAAAAGATAAGGATATGCTTGGTAAGGTGATGTTCCCTTTTTCAAATGAAACAACGAGAAAAAGCTAAAGAAAAACCACTTTTCTTCCTTGGTGGAATAAAGCTTTGGACCGTAATAATAACAACACCATATGCATATGTTTGTTTGGATTCTGCAAAACTTACAATAGAGATTGATTCCAATTCGATGAAGTCGAAGACGACATGCCAAAACCCATCATTTGCAAGGTGGAATCGATCAAGATGCTACCAGTTCCACTCGCTGAGTCATCACTCTGCTGTGGCTTCTCAGCATCGAGAAAACTCATAGAAGCATCAGAAGAAACCAAGTTATAATTAGTCTCCTCAGCACAAGACCTTGTTGTTCCCTTGAAATCCACGAAATCAGTTTGCCAAGTGCTGTAGTTTCCTGCATCAGCTGCTGCCACAGAACAAGTTGATGACATCAAAGGGAACACACTTCTTGTTGGATTAATATTCCACCAACTTTCACCACAAATAGCAGCTTGAAACTCCTCAGCCATGGCAAGATTTGTTGCAATATATATGCTTTATCTGCAGAATCTGTGTGTCCTTCTGAATTTTGTTATTTGATTTTGTGTCTTTGAGCTTTGTATAACACAGTCACACACTTTAAAGCTTATGTTGGGATATAAGAAAGATTAGGGGGTTGAGACATTTTATATATGGAACGGTTGGAAGGGTACGGCTAGCTAGGGTCATTACGGGAACGCGGTTGACATTACAAGGGGGCGATTTGACAAATGAGAGAGAGAATTTTGAATCTAATTCTAATCCTCTTTTTCAAATTAATATAATTGGCATTTGTTTCTATGATTATTAATTTGTCCCGGATTTGTTTTCTCTCTGTCTTACTTTTTCTTTTAAAAAACATATTTGTAATAGTATCTGATGAAGAATGATAATTAATACATGACTTGTGGACAGTTTGTGTTCCTTATGTGTAAAGTTTTGTGGGTATATGATGGTATTGACTATAATGGTGACAGTGATGGAGTTTGATCTATATGCCATGTCTTATGTATAGGATCATATGGTTGAAATCCCTTGGTTTCTGAATTGTGGTATGGAAAACTTAACTTGAACTTTTAGAAATTAAAAGTCAAATAGGGTAAAATCAAAATATTATAAAATTGACCACAAATGAATAACTAATAATTAATTATATATTTATTTTGACAAAACGATTTTATGGATTTCCTACTTCTTTGACATTTTAGTCATTTACATAGCTTTCAATCACCCCCCCCCCCCCCCCCCCCCCTT